AAAAAAACAAAAATAGTATGGGTACTTATTTAAGGCCCCTATGTTAAGCCCCAACCCCGTTCAATCCTAAGCCCTAAACCCCTAAACCCTCAAACCCTAAACCCCTAAACCCTTAAACCCTTAAACCCCCTCTAACTTCAGCCCCCACCCTGTTAAAACGCTAAGCCATCAACTCCCTCGTCGACCCGAATCTCGAAGGCGGTTGAGTTGTAATGTAGGGGCCTTAATAATTAGAACAAGGTTTTGGGACTTTGGGGTTCTAGGGTTCTAGGGCTTAGGGATTGGAGGGTTTAGGGGTTTAGGATTTGGGCTTTTAGGGTTTAGGGGGGCCTGAATAATTAGAATAAGGTTTTGGGGTATATTTTACCATGATTATAATCAGGACCCCCGCCCAAAAACAAAACAAAATAGTATTGGTAAGTATTTAGGCTTCTATAGCAGATCTGTGGCAGTCTTCACAAGAAGCTTCAAAGCCAAACCCCTCAAAGCCATAAGTTTCGGGCTTTGGTCTCTTTTTTTAAAGGTGTGCCTGGACCCTGCAGAACCTAGCTGTTTAGGGCTCCTTATTATGATTTCTTCATATACACCCTTAAAAAGGTAGGTTCTTTGGGGTTAAGGTAGAGCTTGATGCTTTAGGAATTGGAGTGCAGAAGTGGAGGGTTTGGCGCTGAGGGGTTACGGAATCGAACCCTACCTAGAGGCCCATACCCTACCCCTTTTTTAGGTTTCCCTGGTTTTATGGCTAGGATCTGGTATATAGAAAAGCAGAGACCCTTAAAAAGGGGGAGGGTATGAGCCTACACAGGAATGATCCCTCAACGTGTCCTGCTGGTTTACCGGGTCGCTACTGTCAACAACCAGATCGGTCATGCGGACGAACCGGTTGAAGTGCGTGTTGTGCAAGGCAATCTCCCCATTGCTGAGTCAGGCACCGGATGAGCTACGGTTCAGGGTTTACCTGGGCCCTATACATCTAGAAAGCCCTACGTTGTAGGATTCCTGATTATGGTTTCTCGCATAAGTCCGCAAAAATGCAGCTTATTCGGGGTTGACTACCTTATGGAAGTTTTAGGCTCGAAGTTGCACTCGAAGATCTATAGATGTATACAAAGGTATGTATGTATACATATATATATATAACATATATATATATATACGTAAATATATTCATATATATATATATATAAATGTATATGTATACATATATGGGGGGCACGGTTCAAACCCTTTCTTAAACCACGAACTCGAATCACAAGCATCTTGCAGACACCGATCAAGCCAAGAGTCGCCAGGTACCTCACCACCTAAGCTGATTGGGCTTTCTGTTACCCTAAGGCTAAGGGTCCAAGTACCCATTATTCAAGGACTTTGGGGCCTTTCTGGGTATTTAAAACCATAAATGAGGACTACTTGGACCCTCAGGGTAAGGCTCTAAGGACTCATAATTTTAAGACTTTTGGGCCCAAAGACCCTACTATGAAAGGCTTTTGGGCTATTTTGAGCCTTAGGGTTAGGGTTACATCAGGTATCTGTTTCTGTTCTGCTGTATTCGGTTCTGACATATCATATCATTGTACCATACGGTAGTAGGTTATATTATATTAATACAGGAACCCAAAACCAACAATGTAAACAATATAGCTACTACTGAAGAACCTCGCCGCGAAAGTCTCCCAGGTCCACTCCTTGGGGAAATCACTGGCGGCTTTGTGCATGGTGGTGTCCATGCCCGCATGGTTCATCCGCACCTTACTCGACGAGCTCACCCCTTAAGCCAGGAATACCCCTTATCAATGCACAATTTTAAGCCCCTCATAACCTGGACTATTCCTCAGTTTATGTGTACTGGCGTCTCCCGGCACGTCCGAAGCACCAGGGATATGAGGACAAGCTCTGCTTGCTAGAGTATGTACGCCTTGAAATTCCATGCCGTGACACTGACAGATGAACCAGAACTACTTAATATATAGGGGCCTTAATAACTAGAATAGGGTCTTGGGGTGATGCGGGCGAAAGCCTGTTCGACGAAACGTCCAGCACCTGGCTTTTGCAGGTGGTCTGTAAACGGAAAAGTGCTCCA